TGATAATATTTTTAGTTGCTGTTGTATGCTTTTTTTGTTGTTGAACTATTTGTTGTTATTTCTGTAGATTTAGCTTTCATTTCTTTTCAATGACTTTCAAACTTTTAGAATTCAAGTCTTTGTGTCTTTATTGCTAGATAAAAAAATGAAACTGATAGAGCTCTATTATAACTGTTAGTATTTCACTCATTCAATCATTCATTTATATGTATTATATTATTATCTCCTTCATTCATATATATCATATCATTATATATCACATGTACCATATCATTTTATATACACATTTACTTGATGATTCATTTATCATAATTTATATTCACTTTAATCTTCAGTTATTTACATTTATCATTTTATTATTTCACATATTATATATCATATATCATTTATCATATAAGTTCACATTTATCATATTATAACTAAGTTCACATTTATCATATTATAACTAAGTTCACATTTATCATATAATTCATTTATCATATAATTCATTTATCATGTTCATATTTATCTGATGATTCATTCACTTTTATCATAATATTAGACACATTTATCATGTTATAATTTCACATTTATCATAATATTCCATAATGTACCATATCATATTATATACACATTAACTTGATGATTCATTTATCATAATATTATTCACATCAATCTTAAGTTATTCACATTTATCACATTATAAGTTTACATTTATCACATAATTCATTTATCATATAATTCATGTTCACATTTATCTGATTATTCATTCACTTCTATCATAATATTAGACACATTTATCATATTATAAATTCACATTTATCATAATATTATTCACATTTATAATAATATTATTCACATTTATCATAATATTATTCACATTTATCATAATATCGATTCACATTTATAATAATATTATTCACATTTATCATAATATTATTCACATTTATCATAATATCGATTCACATTTATAATAATATGATTCACATTTATCATAATATTATTCACATTTATCATAATATTATTCACATTTAAATATATTATTCACATTTATCATAATATCGATTCACATTTATAATAATATTATTCACATTTATCATAATATTATTCACATTTATCATAATATTGATTCACATTTATTATAATATTATTCACATTTATCATAATATTATTCACATTTATCATAATATTATTCACATTTAAATATATTATTCACATTTATCATAATATCGATTCACATTTATAATAATATTATTCACATTTATCATAATATTATTCACATTTATCATAATATCGATTCACATTTATAATAATATTATTCACATTTATCATAATATTATTCACATTTATCATAATATTATTCACATTTAAATATATTATTCACATTTATCATAATATCAATTCACATTTATCATAATATCGATTCACATTTATAATAATATCAATTCACATTTATCTGTATATTCATTCACATTTATCATATAGTTAATTAAAATTTATCATATAGTCAATTAACATGTATCATTTTACTAATTCACATCTATAATAATATTATTCACATTTATCATAATATTATTCACATTTATCATAATATTATTCACATTTAAATATATTATTCACATTTATCATAATATTATTCAGTAATTTTCCATTTTCAGTATGAATTTATCATATTATTAATTTATAGCTATTTATCATATCTTATACTATGACTGTTTATCACAAATAGTCTTCTCACGTCTCAGATATTCATAACATTTCCCTAAAAGATCTCGTTTCATTTTTGGACTGTGTTGTGGTGGCTATATATTAATAATTTCTTATTAATAGTGTTGGCATCTGGCTTCATTTTCCATTAGAAGTCTCAATGTTTGAGATTACGTAGTTTGTGTTTTTCAACTATTTCAGTTTTAGTCTATTTTCTGCTAAGAAAGTTGCAGCTCCCAGACCGGTATTAAGATCTCAATTTGATGAATATGATCCAACAGTTGAAGATGCTTATTTTAGTTCAGCACCTATGATGGATTTTTCTGTGGCTCAGGTTGGTATCTGTTCAAAAGTAGGAGAAACCCTCACAAGCATGCAGCATTAAAATCTATTATGTTATTGATGACTAAAAATGCATGTTCAAACTTTTTCAGCATGTTTTCTGGTAAGAAAGCTAAGAAAGTTAAACATGTCATAACCCAAAAAACAGAAATTCTTTACCAAGATTTTTTGCCTGGATTGTTGTGCAGTTCCAATGATGGATGTTTCTGTGACACAGGTTTGAATTTATCAGTAGGAGTAGAGAGACAATAGGCTCACCAGCATCATACACTCTTCTGTCTTAGAGGAGGTATTGGTCATGATACTGTCTGATATCTGATATGTAATGCTTATAGTTATTGCTTAGTTGTTTGAGGAAGATTTTTGAAGGTGCCCTTACAGATTATTGTGATTGTGTTTTGAATTGTACGTTTTGGAGGTTTTAGAGCAATTTAGAAGGCTTTGAAATGTGTGAAATATTTTCTTACAAGGTTGTTGAGGTGTTAAGCAAGAGTTCTCTGGTAGTGTACCTAAAGAATGGTTTTTGAGAAGATTTTGTTTGTGTAAAAGGGTTTTGAATCTTTAATGGGTTCTCTTTTTTTAGAATGCTTTATAGTTAAAAGCGATAGAAAAACTAACAATGTACTACTAATTTTATTGAATGCTTAAAGTGAAATTAGTAAATTCTGTAGAAAATCGAACACAGTAATAACATGTCTAATTTGAGAATGCTTTAATTAAAACAAAGTCTATAGAAATACTAGCAAAGCACTCTTTAATTGAAAATCATAAATTTCTGTAATAAAGTACTAATATAGCATAAAGTATAGTAATATACTTTCAAATTGTGTATGAAACATTTTCATTTAACAGTATAAGAGGAGGTAGTCCAAAAGTTCTTGGCAGAAGTAGGAAATTAAAATCAAAATCTAGTGCAATTTATGGTGATGAAGAGGATGAGAATATGTATGAACTTCTTTGCAAGAATGTCCAAATGAGTGTCGTCCAACCTGTCATGTGTTTATCAGTAACACAGGTTTGTTGAAGCTTATTAAGGATATAGTCATCTAAAAATATGCTTCTGGTAGAACTGAATTTAAGTTACCTGTAACACTTTTAAGAATTGAATATTTAGTTTTACTTTTAACTATTATTAATTGATAATAAGAGGGTGTTTTTGATAACCTATTTATTTAATATAGATACTGAAAAGTGATATGTAAAACTGAAATTCAGTTCTATCAACCGATAAAGCATGTAATAAGATGACTATATCCTTCATCATTATATTTTTCTCTGTAGTTTTCATAGGAAAGAACATATATTTCCACTTGCCAGGCAGAACAAAATGTGGTCTGAGATAAGGAGAGATAATCTTGATGAACTAGTGTGTAGATCGACTACTCTTCACATGCCTTTAGCTACAACACAGGTCATATGCCTTTTGTTTGAATCTTCCTGAAATTTTAGTGGCACGAGAGACACAACGTGTCATTTGAATCAAAGAACTATATTATGAATTCATTCCATATTGTATATTGCAAATTTTATTGCCAATATTTTAACCTTTGAAGCATCTGCAAGGTGGAAAAGTATAGCAAGGCATTCTTATTGTAGGCAGTGTTACTAAAGAAAATCTCTGTTTTAGAAGTTATTGTGTGAAAATTCAGGCTTATGCTAAATATTGACAGTGATTTAATGTGAAATGAGTATTTATTCACCTTTCATGGATGTTCTTCACTGCGGCTGATCAATTTTTGAAGAATTATGTGATGGACATTACAACAGATAGTTTTGGTGTAGGGTTGTTTTATTGTTGACAATGGCTATTCTGATCATTCAATGATTAATTTCTTAGAATGTTCTTCTACAGTTGATCAATGTCAAAATTGTTATGGATTTATTTTTCCCAGCTCTGTGTTGGTGTAATGATTTGGGCAAGGTGTAGGTAATGTAGTTTGCTTGTTGACAATGATCGTTCAGCTTATTCAATACTGTCTTTATAATATTTGATTATTATCTTGTTACAATCTTTGTCCTTGTGGGCCACTCTTTCGTATTTACTGACACTTTTCTCTTGTCAGTTTTGGAAATTTTCTGGTTTAGCTTCTCTAATCCTCAACATGTTCAATTGAGTCAGCAAGTTTCATAGTAAACCAGTCAATCAGAATCAAAAACATCTGTTTATTATGATCAGCATCATTCATATGTCATCTAAATGAAGGAATTCAATTCAAAAACAAACTCCCTACAGGTTCTACAAACATTGAATTTTCTTTTATATATTTTTTACATATTTTGGAAACTAACTTTCCTTTTTATCAACCAGGTCATGGTGATGTAACTGACTAACTCATTTGCCTGCGGTATCTTCATATACCTTTACAATTAACACAAAATTTCCAGTGCTGAAATCCATAGTCGCTACTTTGACCCAATCCAGTGCTTCTATAAGAGAGTATCTCTTATGAAACCTTACACTACCAGCATTGGATAAGTCCTTAGTTCTATTCTAAAGTCATCTTTCTTCATTATCCTTATCAAGACAATTGTTCTTGAAATTTGGTACAGATAATCTATTTCTGAGGTATTTTGTCAAGGAATGCAAACTAACTGGCTAAAGACAGGATATTTCAGATGTAAGTGATCCTAAAATATTCCATTCCTTCTGTTAATGTTTAATTGTGTTACAGTAAGCTACAGGTATTTCCAGTAATGTATTCAAACAGCTTCAGTAATCAGAATAGGTTAATGTCATGTGTTCCACCTCCACCTCCACCACCTGCAGCAGCTTGTATGACCATGGCTAGAACTAAGGTTTGTGTATCACAAGAACTAGATAATTATACAGCATCTTAACAATTTAACAAGCTATTACGAATACCATGAGATCATTAACCATTTATCTTGTCACAGAATGCAGCAATTTGATTGAATTATACACTAGCGAATACAGCCAATCAGATCCTTAAAGACTGTAGATGTTAGGGCTAACAGGATCTGATTGGCTATTACAATCGAACTTAAATGCTGCATATACCAACCAACGGAAACTTGATTAATGATGTCAAGGTATGTCACAGTTTATAATAGCTTGACGTTGTGAAGTTGGATATATAGATATATCACTTCTAGATTTATCAAGTATGAGTATCTAAAATATTGAAATATATGACAATACAAACGGCGTGCTGCTACTGCATATTATTTGATAATGCTGTCCATTTTTTTGAGCATGGGAATGATAAATCTTTTTGTGCCTCTGGCACCAATTCATTCCTGGCGACGGGCTGGTACTGGGGAGCTGGCTGGCTCAATTAGTTTAACACTTAGTTTATATTGTTTATATGATATTTTCATCAGCTGTTGATTACCTTATCTAAGAATACTTAAATATGTAAAGGCCCCTGATCGATTCTTCAAATTTACACTGTGTAGGACAAATGGATTTTAGGTGTTTTAATTTTGAAACCTGCCTGTTAAGTATAGATATGGATACCTGATATATTATTTACTCTTGATGGAGGTATATTGATGGTGTGCTTTTAACAAACTTTCATTACAGAAAAGAATTTTATGTTGCTGAATTGTATAATCGATCTGACGATGTGGCATTATTTTCTGGTACAAGTTCAAATGCTATTGCGAATGCTCCTGTCATGCCAATGTCAATGCGAATGCCAATGCCAATGACAACTTCTATTGCAAAGGTTCTACATGTTGTTTTGTCCTCGCACTTCACCTCAAAATCTTTACCAACTCACTACAGAGCAAAACTTTTTATAAATTGAACCCTGCACAGAAGACATATCAAACAATTGTATTTTACACAATGGCACATTTCTTCTCCTACAGGACAGAAAATACAGTGAGACAGTCCATAAATTCACGTGGATTCCCTTAAGCACTATAACACATCTTAATCCTAACATAGACATCCTAATACACGTACACCATCACCATCTCTTTCCATACCTATATAACAGATATATATATATACCTATATAACAGATATATATACATACCTATATAACAGATATATACATACCTATATAACAGATATATATATACCTATATAACAGATATATATATATACCTATATAACAGATATATATGTACCTATATAACAGATATATATATACCTATATAACAGATATATATATACCTATATAACAGATATATATATACCTATATAACAGATATATATACATACCTATATAACAGATATATATATACCTATATAACAGATATATATATATACCTATATAACAGATATATATATACCTATATAACAGATATATATATATACATACCTATATAACAGATATATATATACCTATATAACAGATATATATACCTATATAACAGATATATATATACCTATATAACAGATATATATACATACCTATATAACAGATATATATACATACCTATATAACAGATATATATATACCTATATAACAGATATATATACATACCTATATAACAGATATATATATATACCTATATAACAGACAAGAACAAAGTGAAAATATATAGTATGCTATATAGACATTTTTTAGTTACAAATGTTTATATATACATGTATCCATTGTATTGAAAAAGGACTTCCAAACGGTCTCAAAATGTAGACTTGAGAATAAGTTCTACTTGTGCAACATCAGTTGGGAAGCAGGCTGAAAATAGGTCAGTTGACAGCATGAAAGTCTGAGTAACAACATGATTCAAGTTCTTTTTAAATATTTCTGTATCTAAAATATAGATGTTCTAAAACTTGTCAAATCTTTTTTGATCTGATTTTCCTATGCTTTATGTATTGATGTTGTTCATCCATGAGATAGCTAGATTTGAAAACTTAATTATTTTATATTATTAACTATAGGAATGTTTTAATATGTCTTCATTTATGTTCAAAACTATCAGTTAAATTAAAATATTCTTAAAATTTTCAATTATCTGTGATTTTCCTGAATCTGCATTGTTTAAACTAGAAGTATGTGCCAAATTTATTAAATATCTCTATTAATGTCTAAAAGCAGATTTTAAAATGTAATGATGAAAAAACAATTTGAAAACACTGTATCCCTTAATAACAGAACATTGGTTACTAAAATAAACTTTATATTTTAATAGGTAGCTGAAACAACAACTAGTACATCCTATGAAATAGCTCGTATTTCTACTATCCCCTCTGATAGTATACAACATAAAGTATCGGTTGGTATCATAGATTTAAAACCCAGGTTAGAATATATCACAGTTCCTAAAAAGGTTCCACGAGCTTTCCTGACAGCCAAACTAACCAATACCTCACAGTTTACACTCCTACCAGGACCTACTAGTATATTTCTGGACAATAGTTTTGTGGCCAAGGTAAGCACTTATTTACGTTCCTTTGTCCATCTTTAAAAGCAAGTTATTGGCAGACATTTTCTAATTTTTATTCTGTCCTATCCATATTTGAAAACTGTGTTGGCTCTGTTATTAGCTATTAAAGACTTGCTTGCTAAATTAAAGATTTGCAGTGTTTTTCCATCATAGGTTGGGATAATTCTTTTAGAATTTTCGAAACGATCTTAGCGCTAGGATGTCCTAGGTTCTTATCTTCTAACATTGATTCTAAGACATCCTAGCGCTAAGATTATTAAGTGGCCTGGTTTTGTCAGTGATTTGTCCGTGATGTTGGTCGATGGGGCTGCTATAGAAAATGGCAGAAAAATGGAATTGCACTACAAATTTAAGGCTTAAGATTTAAGGCTAACTCTGCAGCCTTGAACAAATTTTCCTCATTGCACACTGTGTTGCATTGCAAATCTGAATAGCCTAATCAGAAAAGTAGGATGTTAAAGTCCATTTCTTTTTATTTCTGACTGTGATTTCATTTACGTTTCTAGGCTGATTTAAAATCGGTGTCACCACAAGAAGAATTTGAATGTTCACTGGGAGTTGATCCTTCAGTTAGAGTAATTTATAAACCACTGAAAAAATTCCAAGAAACTACAGGCTTTATTTCTAAACAACGTAGTATGATGCATCAACAAGATATAGAAGTGAAAAATACTCATGAATACGCCATTAAAATATTGATTAAAGATAATTTACCACAGACTGGGGTTGATAAAATTAAGGTAATTTTAATTTTTTTGCATAGAACTTAAGAAATGACTATTTTAATGTGAACATGATTTATTGCCATTGAACAAGAGAGTCTAAATAAATCAAACACAACTGTCTATTCCAATGTGCAGTTTTTACCGATATTTGGCACAAGAGAATTTTGATAACGCAGAATTGACGGCAGTTTCTGTTTCTGATGGAGGAAAGCGGGATTTCGATTCTATTCCTGAATTTCAATGACATTTAGAAGCTAGGAACACAAAAACACAACACATGACAGTTATTATGTAATAAAACCTGCTTCTTTAATAAATTTTTTGAAGTTTGTTTTATTCCATAATGGTCTTGTGTTTTTGATATGATATACTATTTTAATTTCAGTTCATACCATGTTAAAGGATTTGTAAAGAGATTTTCCAATTTTTTTATGTGTATCGAGGACATTGATAGTATTAATTTGCACCATTCCAATTTTCTGATGTCTGTGGTTCTTGCAATTCCACTAAATGTGTTTGATGATGTCACTAATCGCAAGTTGTGCTTTATTACAATTAGTGACATTTTTTTGTATAAACAATATTTATTTACATAATATGATTAGGGAACAGGCTTTTGCCTATAGTACCCTCTCCTTAAAATACATTACATAAAAAGTTAAAATTAGTGACATCATCAAACACATAGCTTTAGTGGAATTACAGGAACCACAGACGTCTGATTTGAAATTGGAATGATGCAAATTGATCCTATCAATATCCCTGATATACATAGAAAAAATTTAAAAACCTCTTAACAATCCCTTTAAAGCAAAGTATGCAATCTCACTGAGCAGTTGTTAGTTTCACATTGTAATTTGAAATTGAATTTTTTTAGGTTAATTTGTTGGAACCAGCCATTGATTTAAAACATCCAGAGAAAAATAAAGATACCAGACTAAATACTAAACAGAATCATATTGAATGGGATTTAGATGTGGGAAAACAGGAGACTAAAACAGTCACATTAAAATATTCTTTAGAATATCCTGCAAATGAAGAAATAGACCATACAGAACGAATGTTTGAAAATTAAATGAAACAGATAACCATCTCAGTCTAGAAGTAGATGAAATAAAGTTTTTAAGAAATACACTGATTTGAGTAATTAATAATTCAAATTTAAATTAAGTCTTAACGTTATCAAGCAACTTTAAGTTTGTTTATAAATCAAAAACTTCACTTAGATAAAATCAAGGTTTTTAGGAGAAAAGTAATCTGGTTGGTTGATTTAAAATGAATTTGAATAATCAACCAATCAGATTACTAGGACACTCTTCTTAAGAGTTTTATTTTCATGAAACTAGCCCTTTCAATACATTTAAATTTTCTCTTGTAAGTTACCGAGTGAATACTCCTCAATGCCATTTAAAGTTTGCCTTTATTATTGTATTTGTGATTTTTTTAATTATTCAATAATATTAAACAGTTATTATTTATTTGAGTATAGTTATATAGTCAACATATATAGTTTTTTATACAAATATTACAACAGAACCTGAAACATGTTACTGAGAGTTTCTATCATCAGACAACTGATCTATTTCAGTAGGTGTGTCTTCTGAATTTTGATAACCAGTTCTCGTGTCTGCAAATTTTAAACATTTTTGGATTGAATCGAAAGTAATTGAAGCTGTTTAAGTGAGGTATATATTGTTAGTATATAGTTATATTTTGTTAGGTTAGAAGGGATCAAGAGTAAACACCTGGCTGCCAATCTTTGAAAGAACTGGAATATACAGATCAAACTAGTGTGATTCATATCTAGTGACTTCATGGCCTGGCAAACATCACCTTCAATTACTGAGATTTTTATTTTGTTGATATCATATTTTGTTGGTATAATAATTTGTTAGTATAATAATTTGTTAGTATAATATTTTGTTAGTATAATAATTTGTTAGTATAATAATTTGTTAGTATAATATTTTGTTAGTATAATAATTTGTTAGTATAATATTTTGTTCGTATAGTATAATTTTTGTTAGAATATAATTGTAAAAGTTATGTTTTCTGAAATCTTTGTAGAAATTTTAATGGTGTTCTCCATGATAATTTCTCATTTTTATTGAATGGTACAGGCTTGTTAATATTGTCAGTTAAAGGGAGTAAGGGTTGACAATAGATAGAATACAGGAAAGAAAAGGCGTTTCTCATAACTTTTATTAATCAGGCTGGCAACTATATTTTAAATCGGTTGCATTGTTGTTAATATATTATATAATGGCATTATGTTATGTTTATTTCATTTTCTTTATGGATTTGTTTATTTTTTTGTACTCTATGTATTTCACAACTTTGGCAATAGAAATGCACAAATTTTCCGCGTAGCAGTCAAAATGTAGTACATGTATCCATATTTTTAGCTAGACAATAACAATTGTACTTATTATAGATGATAGTGTCAATGTGGTTGTACTTATCCTTTATTGAAGACCACTGTAAAATCTTAGAGCTAGGACAATATATCAATTTGAACATTAGATTTTCACAAATTTAAAAAAAATAGATATTGTGGGAAACAAGGGCCTGGTTTTTTCCCTGGTGTATAAATAATAGCCCTGGGGATATCAGAAAACTCTAGATAGGATAATTTAAATGAAAATTTATAACATTGATATCATACTTATAAAATTATATTTTGTTATTCAGTGGACTCTGCTGAAATTAAGTATTGTTTCAATTATATATTTATCAGGGATGAAATATAACAGGTTTATTTATAAGTTGCCTATTCATATTGACTACAACAGTCATGACAGATATGACGTATATTTTTGCTCATCCAGGAAGATTTTCAAATAGAAATTCATTACAAGCTAGATTATATGCCAAGTGAAACTATATTTTTTTTCACCTCATTCCCAGATTCCCATTGCCCTACTATAGTAATTATCTAGAAATAATCAACTATTACCAAGCTCAAAATATTTTTATATTTTTTTCTGTTTTCTCCATGTTGTATCATTTTTCTATGATTTTTATTAAATGTAGTATACATAATTAATGTTTTTTTTTTATTTGATCACTAGATCTCAGGGAGCAGTGTAATAATAAGCAAGATCATACAGTGTGCATCAATTTTGCCAAACATATCTAAATTTTCAATTGTTTGTATCACAAAGGTTTTCTGGTACATGCTTTTTCACTGACAGCTTTTCCGAACTGATTCACTGGCACAGTCACAGATTAAAACTTAAAGTAAATATCTGCATCATTGTCTCTTCAACAAGTCTGAAACTATTACATATTTTTACCTTGTTCACTGTAGTGATATACCACATATTCATGATTTCACTTCAAATCAACTTATCAGCAAGCTTATACCAATGATTTGTTTTGCATTTCTGAACACATACAAATAATATATGTGTATTGGCAAGCCCTTTAATGAAAAAAGTCATTTCAGTTGGTAAAAATTCATTTATTACAAGCTATTTGGCTAAAATAAACCATGGACCATAAACCATTATTACAAAGGGAGCTGGGTTTGAATGACAACGTATCTCCAGAATTGTAACAATCAAACCACAGACCACCAGGTGGTGTGTGACTGAAGATTTGAAGTTAAGAAAGAGTTTGACAGATGAACATTTTAATTTCATACTTCATTTTGGCTACACATTATTCTTGGTTAATATTAGGCACTATATATTTATTAATCATTCAAAATAAGGCGTCATCATTATTCATGGATTTCTTAATATTAAATATATATATCTGTTCTTTAACAATACAAATTGGGCTGCCATTTACAATCATTTTACATTTTGAATGATATGAAATCAAAGCTATTTATAACTCAAATCAAACAGCTTCCATCGCACAAAACTTAATATTTTGTTCTCACCTGAACAACAAACTATGACATAGACCTTATTCACGCTTTAACGGTCAACCAAATTGAATCCAGAACAAGGCTCATCAAACAAAAAAGATATCATGTTGTCACTGCAGTAAAATTTTAAGCCTGTTTTCTCGCTGTTGATTGAGTGTTAAGTGACGTCACATATGTTATTCATTCATATGACATCAACATCTTATCAATGGATGACGTAATTTGCATTATGAACCTCGCTTTCAGTGTCTCACAAACGAGGCATCTATTAACAAGGGACAATAACAAATAATAAACTGGAAATATTACAATTACAACCTTGTTAGTTCTGGAATGCAGTTTTTATACAAGTGCATCATTTTAACATAACGAATACAATTTGATTAAAATTAGCTGGTGTAAAAATAATTTGGTCGTAGTTGCAATTAAAAATATCAATGGGACTAGAAAACATCTTTACAATGGCTTCAGACCATAATTGTCAATTTCTTTTTATCTTTCTCAAAATCTGCTTGAATGGTCTCCAGTAATTTTGGCTGGAGATAAATATCTAGTGCTGTTAGAGCTAGAGATTTGCCTTGATTTAATGTGAATGGCTGAGCTTCTGGAGCACCTATAAAAAAAATGTCAAAGATTAGACCACGTGCAGCCTTTTTTATCAATTAAAGAAATGATCTACCGTACTTCACTCTTACATGCAAAATGAAGGAAGACTTTGTCAGTACAGCTGCATATCTTTTTTGGTTTCAAATTTTCAGGGATATTAAAATTGACAGGATTCTTACAGTACCAGCCAAGTGGAATAATTTTCAAACATTGTACTAGACATTATCACTGCACTTATCTAACGACCTATTACCATATTAGGGAGGCCTTAGGAATGATTGATATTAGGGAAGCCTAAGGAATGCATGTTACCATATAAGGCATATTACCTGCTGCAGTAGTAAAATCTCTAGTATGATTAGCAGCTAATGTTCCCATATGAAAACAAGGATGTATACTTGGTACTACAGTTGATACATTGCCCATATCACTAGACCCTAGAGCAATGGTTTTATCTTCTTCATCATTAGTAAACTCTACACCAACTGAGATAGCATTCTTCTCATAAAGTTTACATAATGTATCATTGTGTATCATGGCATTGTAGGTTTTATCTGCTGTGTGGTATTCAACCTGTAATATATATTTAACTAATACATGTAAAAGTCTGGTCATATCCAGGCCCATATAGACAGATATATTACTTACCCCCGAATAATCAAATCTAGCGACAGGCCAGGTCATATCACCCATTTTAACATTAAAAACTTCACAGAATTAGAAAATCAGAGACCAATCTTTTAATTTACAGTGAATGTTCTCCTGAACATAACAGCACAGTTATGAGGGTACTCTACATCTTGGTTGACTGAAAACTGACCATAAAATATCAACTTCTATTGAAAGACTGATAAGCGATGTAGAAGTGAAAGGTGCACAACTCTGCTATAAACTTCATTTACATGTATTTTTAGAAAAATTAGTAAATAAGTTGTTATTTTTTCGAAATTCTAAGCAATTTTTCATAAAAAATAATCTGCTATGCAATCAAAAATTTACTTTGAATTGCAAAAATAGACTTACAGAACATCCAGTTGCTGTAGCAGCACTTTCTATACACGAGATTATTTTAGTCTCTAATATTTTACGTTCTGGATCAGTCGGAGCTCTAATAGAATATTCTAATTCTGTTATATCAGGTATTATATTAGGTTTGACTCCACCATTAATTATTACACCTGCAAAAATCATTATGAAAAATTTGCTTATTCTATCAAATTATTAATTTTCTTTCATTAATGTATTCTCTTGGAAAATTTGTTGCCATGTCACCTTAGTTTGTTTTCTGAAAAGACCACGAGTCTTACTGTTAAGTTTGTACTGTTATATGTATATGACGAATTACAAAAAGAAACCTACCATGAACCCTCCAAGTTGGTTTAAACTGTTGACGTAAACAAGATATATTTTGATAACATAACACTGCAGCATCAAGAGCATTGACACCCTCCCAGGGAAATCCTGCAGCATGGGATGCTTTACCTTTATATTTTATATATAATCTGAAATATCAGTATAATATTACATTTCAAGAGTCACTCAGTGCTAGCTTTCAAATTGCACAAAACTATTCTAGGTCCTGCAGTGACAAATTCTTGCTCTACTATATAAACATTTACTATATAATTTACAGCTTCAACTCATACTAAACAAGATGAGTGGGGGCCAGTGGACAACATCGAGTTAACTCGGAGACAATAACAAGTGGGTTTGGGCCCCTATTCTGGGGAACTTTTTTTTAACATGCTCTCTTGCATTCCAAGACCTCTCTGTAAGTCAATTCAATATTAATGGAATATCTAAATATTTTCAGTCTAGTTAATGTAATTTCACTCATTAATATATTGCTTAGTTTGATTATAATAGTATACTTTGGTACATTTGTTTTTATTTTTGTATTTCTTTCTAAGGGGTGGGGCCCGTGGACTCAGTTCAACCAATCACTATGGTAGTTGATCCACTGATTATGTATACAGTGATAGTGAAATTATACAATCTAAAAGATGACCAACTTGCTTCTAGCTAGTAGAGGTTTCTTGTGGTATGTAGCTGGAGTAGGATGTGCCATCATAGCAACATCAACATCATCAAATACACCTTGATCTATTAGTTCTATTTTACCACCACCACCTTCTTCAGCAGGTGTTCCTAATATGGTTAACTACAAAATATACAACTACAGAATATAAAACAAGTTCCTAATATAGTAAACTTCAAACTTTACAACAAATTCCTAATACATATATAGCAAACTACAAAATATACAACATGTTCCTAATATAGTCAACTACAAAATTTACAACAAATTCTTAATAGATATATAGCAAACTACAAAATATACAACATGTTCCTAATATAATCAACTACGAAATATACAACAAGTTCCTAATACAGTCAACTACAAAATATACAACATGTTCCTAATATAATCAACTACGAAATATACAACAAGTTCCTAATACAGTCAACTACAAAATATACATGTTCCTAATATAATCAACTACAAAATATACAACAAGTTCCTAATACATATATAGCAAACTACAAAATATACAACAAGTTCCTAATATAGTCAACTACAAAAAATACAACATAGTGATACAATTATCTAAATTTGGGTTCATCGTAGGAAGTTTATAGGATGGGACCCATAACCTAGAAAATCTTGGTTTTTTTTTCAAAATGAAGAAACTTGAAAATAGATAGAACAAATTTAAACTTACCTTTCCTAAATTTTCAGTAGACTTAGCAAGAGCATCTCGAATGCCTAGACCAGCAGCAATACCAACTTCAGCTATCAAATTATGACCACAAGCATGACCAATTGAAGGTAAAGCATCATATTCACAGATGACCACTATATGAGGTTTACGAGGCACTGTATCACATTCACCATATGTAGCTCTGAAAGCTGTTTTTAATTTGTATTGACTTTCTACAATGAATCCAGATTTCTCCAGAAAGTCAGTTAACACATTATGAGCTGAATGTTCTTCAAAAGCTAATTCAGGATTCTTCCATATTTCTTGACTGATTTCATTTAAAGCTTCTGTATGTTCATCTATACCATTTATTACAGCTTCACGTAGCTCTTCCATTTTGATTCAAATGATTTACGAGTTTCCTGCAAATAAAAGCACAAAAATAACGAGGAACAAAACAGAAGAAAACTCCCCTTGACTTAATGTAAATGTGATCATTTATTCAGACGGATAATTATGGATACACATGAGTAAGAAAGCTCAAATTTCGACAGTAAGTTGTGAACACTATTGCGGATAAGTTTAGCTAAACAATTCTCTGGTAGGCCTATTATTGAACCCTGACAATGGTGACCTGTAGTAACATACACTGTTATCATAACAGTAGGGAAAACTGACATATTACATTTATCTTAAGATGTAGATCAAATCAATAATAACATTCATTGTAAACATTTCTACTGTCTATCAGTGGAGTTTCTAGAAATCATTCAAGGGGCCCTGAATAGGGATCACAGAATTGTCAAAGGTACTCACAGGCAATTAAACTCTATGTTAAATGATAACAAATTTGAAAGTAGTAACAAAACTCACTGCTATTTATATAGGTACATGTAGACTATAGTATAATAGACAAGCCTGACCTTGGCTTGGTTTATTTAGTTGTATGTCCAGTTGTAACAGTAAAGACGAATAGGCCGTAGTCTCCCCTATGGTCCCTACCCCATGAAAAATTCACTTCATCTTCTAATCTTACCTCTTCAGTCCACAAAAACAATTCAGTCATTCAATACAGTCAGTATTTCTATTGATCTTTTTATAATAACATCACAGTCGAATGAACCAACTTAAACTAACCTACTTCATTCATTAAAAAATCTTTAAACCCAACGACAAGTTCAAGGTCATATCTTAATAGATACGGTAGTTTATTCTTTTCATCATTCTGAAATGAAATGAAATGAATGAATGGAGTTTTACGTCCTTTCACCATGATAAGTGTTTGTATATGCTTGGTAATTTAAATACTTTCAAGTTATAAAAGCTTAAAAACCATATTTATTGTCTTATTATGAAATGAAATGGAGATGAATGTCCTATGTTTTCTCCACCAAATTAAGCCTATAACTGATGTGATCATAGGACTATTTTTGCAAGTCACAATCTCTGTGGCAAAAGACAATTAATGATGGTGAATTGTCATTAATGGCTATTTTTCAGGAAGGGACAATATATATGATGTCCCCCCAGTCAGAAACTAGGGGATCGCCGCCCTTGGTTTCATGAAGAGGTATAAAACATTTAGCAAAAGTTATATATATATTTTTATTTAAAAAATAAAGATCATATCTATGTGTTCCAATGCACAAGAACATAGTGAGTAAAATACAATAAGACATGATTTCAATCAGCCTAGGCCGTCTTTTTATCCTGTGTTGAAGATTTTTCTGGTTTTAATCCATATTTTATTTTCTCATATTCTGTATCCTCTGGGTTAGCGTTTAAACTCAGATTAAAATAATCTAATAATGATATTGGTATATATGGTCTTATCACTGCCAGTATCTGAAATAAAAATATTTAAACTTCTTGCATCAATTTAAAGTTGTTTTGTCAAGGGCAACAACAAGGAAGGAACAAGCTTGAAGTGCTCTATTATGTGAATAGATGGACATAGTCTCAATTCACACAGAAGCTTTTGCCAAGTATTGATACTTTCATGTTTTTTTAAAAAAAAAAATTAATTGACTTGTGTGCATCTGTCTAATATCAATTGAAAATAAATCACCATCACTTACATTAGTTTTATCAAATAATTTAGAATTTACTAAATATCTACTGGTATGTCTCTGGCTCAATAAACCATCTAAAACTTTGTTAAATATAGGTGTTGGTGATAAATCTATTGGGGTCTTTGATTGAGATAAAATATTATTGATATAGTCTTCACCATAAGCTTCTATCAGCTCCTCATTGATAATAGGTTTAGTGGTTTTATCTACCTGTTTACTTCCCTAGAAGCAGATAAGCAAAATACAAAATCAATGATATCAAAGAATCAATGGTAATTTAAACAAGCCTTCTAAATATTCACATAAATAATAGGCGGATATAAGAACTCTTTGATCCTGCAATAATGAAATATAATATCAAAATACCTTGGTTTATGAAAGAATACGATTCACAAAATTGGCTACACCTTACATATTAATTATTGAAAATTTGAATAGCAGAGTCCCTTTGCCCAAAAAATTTTATGATAAAAATTTGTCTTATTTACATTGGGAAATATCATCTATAATATTTTTTATGAAACGGGACCAGATGAACAGATTTTTTAATAAGTTAAGTAATATTTACCGTTAAATTAAAATCTATACTACATTCAATTAGTGAGACCCGAACATCAAATCTACTCATTTCTAATCTTAAAGATTCTGTGAAACCCTCTATAGCATACTGTGTTATATTATAAGATGAGGACTGAGGTAAACCTAGTAATCCTGCTGTTGATGATACATTAACAATACATCCTGTAGATAAATGAACAATGGTCAATTTATGTCATATAGTAACATTTTTTAAGAAGGCTATGCATACCCTAGAACACTACAAAATGACTAGGTTTTTCAACTTTAAATATCCTGGGAGTCCACAAAGCTAATAAATAATTTTTTTTTTTAAGAGACAAATTGAAAACATTTATTTCTACTAGAGTTATAATTTATTAGCATATGACTTTGAATACTGAATTCTAATCTCAAGCAATCATAGCTCTATTATAGGAAATACAGCAAGCAGTATTCAGGTTATCTTGTAGATAGATGATGTCTCATTCTCACCCTGTAATTATTACACAATGGAGACCATACCTTTACATGCTCTAATGAGAGGAAGGAATGTTTTAGTAACTCTTATTGTTGATAATAAATTAGTATCTAGTAATTGTTGATATTTCTCCATTGTTGTTAACTCTATATCTCTCACTATCTTATTATTATAACAGTTAATTAATCCATATAATCCTTCTGAAATACATACATCAACAACTTAACTTAGGAGTTCAGTATGTACTGATTTGGTATATCTTGAAATATCTGTAAAAGTATATTGACTTACTTATTCACAAGATAATATTTCTGTGCTGTCTTCAATCAAAAATACAACTCTGTCTGTCACTACAGTAGCCTCATATTGCCTAATTAAAGTAAAAACTTTCATACGGTTCAATCTGTGATTTGTCGCAATAAAAAAAAAGTTTCACCTGTCTTCTCAACTGTTTCTTTCAATTGCTTGAAACACTGATGGCAGCTTTGATCAGATAATGGATCCATCTGCAGTATTTTCAGGTTATCATTGTACATCTTTAATTCTTTGACTGCAGGATCTTCCGTTGATTCTGATGTACCAAAAACTTGAAAACCATAATCAACTAGATGTTTTGATAGTTTATTACCAAATACTGGATCAAATAATATCAAATATATGTAAAGAAGTAAAAATAAACCTACTCTGGCAGACTCAAGTACCCCTGCTTTTTCAGAGAATTTTCGAAATATTATGATGTTTCTATTTTTTGCTTAAATGTATGTATCGGAATGCACCATGTCAATCTTTCTTGAGGTAGAAGTTTAGAACCCTATCTGACAATCTATGCACTACCATTTGTGCAATCTCTACCCTAGCAGATTTCCGTCCTCCAAGTCACTCTGCCCAAGTTTTCTTCCCTCAGTTTCAGGAGGATGGTGCCGCCACTGCAAATGTGACGATAAGAAGAGCACACCAGTTTTGGCATTGAAGAATGTCAGAAAAAGTACTGTTGTCATACCTGAATCAACACCAGCTATTAAAACTGTTTTATTTTGAGGAGAAGATCTGGAGTTATTGACCTTCCTCATGATAAATATTAAAACAGTTAATATTGTTATACTGATTAATATCATAGATATAGCCTGTTTAAATAACACCAATATAGCACCAGCTACTACCACCAAATAGAACACTTCTAATATATTTACATCCTCCATTTTATATAGAATACCTGTAATATACACAGCACAACTTGATAAAGAACATGGAAAATGACAACCCTTTATATTGAATTTATTAACAGAACACAATTTTATGGTATACTATTCCTAAAAGTCGCTTAAGGATTCTTTATAATGAATGAATGCATGTCTTTTTGTGAAAAATGTTTTTATGGTCATTGAAACAATATTTACACATCAATAAGCATAGGTCTATTAACTTTTACTCTTTTCAAGTATATTTGTTTATTTGTCAATAAGATCTGAACATATAACTTATTTTTCTTAGTTTTAAAAAAATTAGGTATTGTGCAAATTTTCAAAGCCACATTTTAAAAATCAAGAGGTAATCAATATTACATTAGAACTTTATAAAATCTTACAAACGAGACTACTTAGCTGTAAGATATTACTGAATGAAGATATTATTGCAGTAGCTACGGTAATAGTCAACCCTAAAAGTAACCTGTATCCGTGTATTGAATTAGGTCAGGTAATAAGATAAAGTTCATGAACGGTTGAAAGATAAGTGAACTATACTTTAAGCTCCTTCAAAATGGCAAGAGTTAATTAATTAAGATTACAATCAAGTTAGGACTAATTCTGAAATTCGTCCCAGTACACATTTACCTGTTCTATCTTCTAACTGATGAAAACGTACACAACTGTGTTTATTCAAGAGAAATACCCTGTACCGTATAGTTCATAATAATCCATAATTATATGTTTTCAGTAGTCACCAGAGCTGAACAAGAGGAAGAGCAAAATATTGAATGATGAAGTCAATCATGTGCATTCACAATAATTTCTTTAAAGTTTGTCTAAAGCTGTCATCTGACTTTTTTTTTATGCAAATTCAATCTTTGCACATTTTGTAAGGATTAACTTAACTTTTTCTGCTCTCTTTTGCCCTGAAGGAGCTGGAAAAGGCCAAAAGAGATATTCCAAACTTTGAGTTTTGGTGGACAATATCTTGAAGAACTATGTCCCAGATTGCTAGTATTTTTATGTAAGCATTTCAACATCGTAAAGTTCCAATTAGTCAAAAACACACTTTATTTTGATATCAGCTACCTTTGCTTGAAAAATTATTCCATGCAATTCAAAATTATTTCCAAATTAATGTATCTGATTACTTTGGCCATTGTTGCTAATGTAGGCTATATAGTGGGTTAATTGTGTCCAACCCACACCCCCATTTGTCATAAAAAGACAATGTCAAAAACAGAATCAGGATACAATGTTTATAGGCTTCAATAAGCAAGTATCTGGAAGTAATTTTCTGCAGGTGACTCAACTTGCCATTATGATCAGATGATATTGCTATGCATCTCCTTTTTCAGAGTCATTTAATAATCAAGTGCTCTGTTTATTAAAAGATTTCCTCCTGATATGTGAGAAATTATGGGATTTTCATCATCAAACATTGCCTTATATTTTCTGCCAACATTTAACAGTGTTTTAATTTGTAATATGATGCTATTGGGTCAAATTTCATAAGAACACGACTTAAAGAAGAATCTCTTGAGATCATAAATGGCATGTATCTCACAAACAGAAAAAAAAATTGCAATCTGTAAAGTTAACGTTGATTTTAAATTACAAATGGACTAAGTCAAACAGACCCAAACAGCATAGGATGGGGAGATCTATCTGGCAAACAAAATAATAAAAAACAATTTTATAATACTTCTTTATTAGGCGTTATATACAAAACATTTCAAATCAAAATTATGTACATATAGCATGATCAAACATAAAATAACAAATTATCTTTTAGGTATTTCTTTATACATGTAATTGTTCATATTGCACTGATTGGTGATCATAATCCTTAACATAGATGAAACCACCAATGTTTTTAAATGGAATAACTTTGGATTCATCTCCATATTTTGCAGTCTCAGGATTCACACAGAAAGATATTTTCTTCCAAACACTTGAACCTTCCTTTCAAAAGCTGTTGATTTAATAGGAGTATTGATTTCATAGAAAGGATTCATGGCATGTTTAACATAAGTGTCATAAACTTCAGTGAAAAAGTTCTTAATTCCTTCCTCATTTTTCACTTCATGCAACATCAATAACCTCATTTTACCAGCAGTAACAAATGCTGACACAAACCATTCATTGAATTTATCCACAACTTTTAAATACATATTGTTTGTCGACCACATCTGTTCATCAACAAGGTCCAAGGCAGCATGAGCTATGAATTGATTCAAATGACGAAAATCATCCTTTTTTGGATCATTTTGTTTACTGGGAGCTGTAAACTCCATCTCAAATATCGGATTATCATGGTGTCCAACGATTACAAAGTAATAACTGCCTGTCATATTGATGTCTATTAATCAAATTATCGAGCACAATAGTTGAATATGTAGTTAGCAATTAATGTTAATAAATAATTAACAAAACAATGTTTTATTTTGATAATTTGTCAGAATATGTCAACCATTTTATAAAGGGAGACAACTTTGTTAAGTGTCAGTTCGTTTTTTGTGAACAATAAGATTATGTCCAAACTGTTAAATCTGTTACGTTTATTGTAATCTGATTGAATCTAAGTCTTTTTAAGTAAGAATTATGGATAATTATGTTTGTGACAAACATAAATGTCAATAATATGATTACAGTGTGATCTACATAATGTATCGGATAGACCCAAATCATCAAACTAGCGAAGTCGAATGCGTACTTATATAAACAGGAAATGACATCACTTGGTTTCAGAAAAGCGTCAAAATGGCTGCCAAACCGAACACGATGAACGGGGGTTTTTGGAATTCACCACAGGCTCAATATAGCCCACAAACTCAGAAATTATTGAAAGGTAAAATATCTGACAATCATGAATAATTAGTCTATGTCAAAAAAATTTCAATTAAATTTCAGTTACACTCACTGACAGGTAATCTGAGAGTTAAATCCCCAAGCTACTATTCGATCAGCAGTCAATTGAGTAGGGTAGGGTCTAGTCCTAGAAACTCTGACTCTGATGATTCTGATGACTAGTCGCATGAGGGAGGGTAAGAGAAGATCAGATAGTGAAACTGCTCTTGCCCTTATTTTTTTTAAGCCTTCCCCCTTAAACCCCTAATGGCTAAAAATAAATTTTGAAATAGATCTAGCCTACTAGACCTTTGCCTAATGCAGACTTCTCTGTAGTTTGATCTTCTGTGTATAATTGCCTGACTAGGCTATATCAGTTATATCAAAACCAATAGACAGATTATAGCTATTATACACTAGTGGCATCAGTCGATATCTAATCCATCATTAACAATATTATTTCTTTATTATTGTTTTCTTGTAGAAATGATGAATGAATCAAAATTAACAAATTTTCAACAGAGACACCTTGAAAAATCTCTTAGAAGTAAGTGCAATTTACCATATAGGTTACAGCCATGCATGTTTTTATTTTGAACGAAATTATCTTGTTTTGTTTTTTAAGAACTCATTCATCTCATGATTCATGAGCTCATGATGTTTTATTTTAGCAAAATATTTTGGCTATAAAATGTTTCATAAATTCCAGGTGGGTCTAGTTTACCTTCTGAATGTAATCCTACATCAAGTGCACGACCAAGAGTGGTAAAACAAACCAAGAAACCAAGTAAAATTCTGAATCCAAAGTAAGTTTAGTTAGTCTTTCACGTAGATTGGTAATTTGTTATCAGTTTTAAGATATGTCTTCTTATTGAAATACAACAGTTTAAGTTTGGGCTTAAAGAAAAGCCTTGTTCAAGCATACAATAATGAATTTTCTTCTTGTCAATTATTTTAGAAATTATACTGGTGGTGTACGCTCTAAAGACACTATGGAAGCTCTAGGAGCTTTTGAAAAACCAGAATACAGTTTACCTAAAAATAGTAAGTAACAGTATAAGCTTATTTTGTACTATTCATTATCAGTTGACTGTATTTATTCAGGTACAAAGTATGAAATATGGATAAAGTAATGAAACAAATGAGTGAGAATATTCTAAGATGATAAAATTTCCTGAAATGAATCCTCCTTTTGTAATGTATAATAATATTATTGGAAAGAAACCAAGTTCTGTATCTAGCTAGTAAGCCTGAAATGTTTGGACATAAGTGAAGACCCATTACCTTCTAATCTTTTCCAGATGCTCGATCAGCTCGAGAGAAAGAAAGATTGGCCAATATGATGGCATTCGGTAAAGATGTTGACAATATACAGAAACAAAAGGTTCAGGTACCAGTTGAAATAGAAGAGCCAGTTGAAATAGATAGATTTGATGAATGTAGGTATCAATCATCTCACAAAGAAACAATATCTTCTGTAGTAGAGTTATTATAGAACTGGAGATAAATTGTGGACTATGCCTGGGCTTTGACATTTCTTGTGGAAACAACAGCAAATGTTTTGAAAAAACATTTGACAAGAGATAAACATGTCATATTTGTTCTTATCTGTTACAGTACAACTTGAAGTAGAAGAAAGGCAGAAATTTTTAGCTGATATGACTAAATTAGGGAAAGGAAGGGACTACAAACATATTGAAACTGAAATATCACAGGTAAATAATTTCCTTTTTCATATTTTATTCACACATTGACTGAATCTTAGCCAGGACCTTGTCGCTTTGTTGTAACAGACTCTAGTAGTATGTGTTGCTAGCTTCTGTGACTGAGCAACTTGACTTATATTTGAAATCCATTTCTGAACCTCATGATAAACTATAAATCTAACATCATTTAAAATTTTAAAATTTATAAATTGCTTAAGCAATATCTTAAAAATATGTGTAATCAATTTAAAATTACTTTTCAGCTGGTGAGAGAGATGGAGGTGATAGATAAAAAACGAACCAAACAATTAGACTCTTTACTTAAAACTTATGATGGTGAATCCTGAATCTAAAGTGACTTATGTAGGGACTAAATGCAATTATGAACATACTGATTAAGGTGCACAAATCAGATATAATTAGAAATATATCGTCCTGCACATAAATGTTTATATTGAGCAATTTTTTAAAATCCTGAAAATTTACATATATATCTCAAAAGATATTAAAAAATGGTAGCCAGAAATTTATAAATAATCTGATGGTATTTTACAGAGTGGATAAAATTGTGATATAGAACTTTTACGACATTTTATCATAAGATTACATTGTACATATAACTTATTTATTCATTTTAATAGAACATTTTTTAGGATTTTATTAAAACATTTTATTTATAAATAGATGTGTAATGTGTGTAGCATAGATTTGTGTAATTGTGTTACTATGCAGTGTGTTAAAAGGGACATCTTGCCAGCACAATGGTATTCACTCACTCACGTATTTATTTAGAGATATCTTGAGGTTCAGTGTCCAAGCAGTGGAGCAAACACTGTCTCAGACAAGATATATTTATCCATGTCAGCACAACCGATTAACATCACATAGAGAAATTTTGTGGAAAACAATCCAAAATACTGTTTCCACATATGAGGGAATATACTTGAAAATCCATTGAATAGTGACTTTTGGAACATATAAAGAAAACACATATATAGATAAATATAAGTTAATTTATTGGAATGATAATGGTATGTATAATAATCTGGATATTATGAACATGATTATCATTATGACAAAATAAAATATCAAGATGAAAACAGTTGGTCCCACAATAAATATTATCATATGTAACAAATAGACAAATCTTTTATTACAAATATAGACAGGAAGACATTGATGTAAATATATTCTGGCAGAGATATTTGTGAACATTAAGTACGATTCAAAACAAACTTAGCAGTCTGCTGAAGGTTAAAGTAGTTATGAACACAATACAGGTCTGAATTAAACAGTTGAAATATAATTTATTCTACCTGAATATAAAATAGACTGCTTGCTTGTGTTATGGATTTGTTTGGGAACCATATGTGTACAGATATCTTTGCTCGATTATAACAATCTGTATGTATAGAATTAGACATGAAATATGATGATTATTTTACTGGTGGGGCAAGATTGAAAATAGTTTACCAGTAAAACCTCAAATAATGTGGTCAATATGTATAGACAATTTCTTTATATTATTTAGGGTATCACAATATTTCCAGTCTAGCTAATAAGGCATAAGAGTATGATCAAATACAAAACTACTCAAGTCTTTTAGACAACAGACCCACAATTTTCTACACTGTTTCTACTCAGCTTAAGAAATAGACAAAAGTAATTCAATATAAAAATTTCCTTGAATTACTTCAATTTAATTATTGCACATTTTGTAAGCACTACACGATAATAAATAAATATGACTTGTAGAACAGGCTAGATAGATGACTGATAGATAGATTAACAGTCTAGTTAGATATATTTCTTATTTTTCTTCTTCTTTTTACCAGAAAGACTTTCTTCTTCAACTACTTTCTTAATCTGTTCTTCACCACTAATATCATATCCTGAAAATATACAAATTTAATTCTGTTAAAATCATATCACCTGGCATCAGAAACCTATTAATAATGGTCACAATATTTTCAATATTATAATCAGTATGACTGAATTACAGCCCTTGATTCAGTAGGTTACGTAACTCATACTAGATCCCCCCAAAATATTAATCTCAACAAAAACAACATGTCTTTCTTACACGATGTAAGGTTTATGTATTAATTTTGTAAATCACAAAAAATATGAAATGAAATATCTATAGATTAAATTATTTGTCTGCTTGATGTAAAAAAACTCAAAAAGAATTAAATAATGTCTAATTTCTAAATTTATTCAGACACATGGATTTGAAAGCCACAGTAGATGTGAATCCTGCTCATGGCCATCATGGCCTTGTATATAAAGTTGAGAGTAAAGATAAACAATCACTAAATTCAATATAAAAATCAAACATTTCCTCATGCACAATAATAAGAGCATTATTAAAAAATATACAGAAATACCAAACTAATCAAATGACAGAGAAGTTATTAGAATTTACAGTGAAGACAATAGATGACCACACTCCCAGCTCTAGAAAATCTACCTCTAGTTCATCATACTATAGCTGGACAGAATATAACACGAATACATTTAAAACATCCAAATCCTTGATAAGTGTTGTTTTGTCTGACTTTTCTTAGTTTCCTTACTGTAAAATTTTAATATGAAGTTCAGGACAAAATGAATGTATAACCAATGTTACCATAAAATATGGATGAATGCAATTTCATTGAAATTTGATTAAAAACCAGATGCACATTCTCATGGTTGATTTTTATCTCAAATATAATTGTGTTTCTTTGTGTAAATTTCTCTGTGTAAAAGTAAATTTTTTTTTCATAACTGAAGGTCAGGTTTTTCTGCTTGTCAAAAATGAAAACTGTCAAATTGGGCTGGCCGATTCATTAAAAAAACAGTCTAAATTTACCTTTTGAATACAAAACTTTGGCTATATCTCGATCTTCTTCCTCATACCTATAACAAAATAAAATTCCAATTTTTTCATAATAAGTTTTTAATTGTTTGAAATTACAATAGAACAGAATTAATCAATTAATTAATTAAATTGAGCTCAGATTTATGCAAAAGAAATTCGATAACTTCAAATACATCAATTAAAAGTGTTAAAAACTTAGCTTAGCTTTTAGATTTCTAGTTTAGTACCATTGCTTGGAGTGAAAAAGTCTCTTTGTTTGATTCCTACCTAATTCTGTCTTCATCTATACTATCTACAATACTACTTCTCTTGTTGATTACATCTAGTTTCTTATTGATCAGATCTTCTTCTTCTTCACGTTCATCTACTGTCTTATCTTCATCTTTAAATAAACATAATATTATATAATAAACATCTAGAGTCTACTGTCTAATTCAGAGTTCCAAACAAATGCCAGAAGAAAAAAACAAATATTAGTTCAAAACTCAAGAGGTTTAGCAAACTTATTTGGGATTTTTTTTAAGTCTTGGTGATGCTATGTTTTTTAATATGCATATCATATGCCATACTTCACGATTACACTCTAAGAATTATGACAAATGTTTGACAGAACAATGCCAAATTTCATTTGCATTGAGTGAAAATTTTCTTGTATTTTTATCTTTGTATTTTCATCCTATCATTATCAGTTTTTAAACTGTGTGAGATATTATATATGATGACAGTATATACCCTTACTGATTATATTCCATGATTGAATTGTTAACCAGTTATCAACAGAAGAAATACTAACCTAATATGGACATTAAATAACGTAGTCGACTGTCAATACTATCTTGTTCATCTTCTAGTTCCTGTTCACGATTTCTACAATAACAAACAAACAAATAAATAATCATACAACTATCTCTAAAATCTTTCAGGCTTGATGGATGTGAACTAAAACTAGTCTGTCACTTACAAATCTTTATTCATACCTGACCAATTTTGTAAATACTTACATATAAATCAAGTCAGCTTCTTGTCTAACCAGTTCATTCTTTTCATTAATTAATTTAAACCATTCAGTCATTAATTCATCTTCCACCTCGGAAGTAGTGGCTGTAACAATAAAAACATTTTACCTTATTTTGAGAAGAATCATATGACGTCACTTTGAGAAGAGAGTTCATATTCAACACAAAACATTAATGATAAAACACGAAATTATTAATATATCCCTATATAAATAAAACATGTATCAGTAAATTTATAATTTTGTGAATTTCATACTCAAAACAAAATAAAGATAAGTCAATTATGTATAATTCTTGTAAATTTCAATATAAAACTTAAGAGAACAGTTTGGGCAATTTTTTCACTTTCTTGAAATATGCTGCAAGCTTTAAGGAATGTTTGAAGGGGTAAAATAAGTCAATAAAACATATTTTGTTGTTAAAAAAATGCCATATTCTGTTACTGGTCCTATAGTGAAAATATAATATATCCCTAATCCATCAAAATAACAAACATATATACAAGATGCTAGTAAACACTTCACTCTATAGTCTATTTCAATATTATCTCATGCATCTAGTTATCAATTCATGTACCACATTCCGCCCAACCCCCTCAATACACATGACCACACTTTTATCCTTATTCTTAAATTAAGATGAAATAAAGACTTTTTAATTACTTTGTGATTTAAAAAATAAAAAAATAAATAAACAAGAAAATAAATGGGTAAAATGGAAGATTATGAAAAAGTCAAAAAGGGATGTCAAAATAGGGAAAAAATAAAAGGGATTAAAACACACACAAAAAATTCCCATTATGGACATATTTTGGCGAATTTTACTGAGGAATTTAGATTAATTTTGACCGTCAAAAATGACTTAATTAATTAGATACACAACATGCAAACATTAAAAAATCTGTTGTTATCAAATATATATACCTAAACAACCAATAAATAAATTAACATAAATAATAATTGTAATATTATAATAATAGGTACCGATACTGAACATCAATACACACCGCACAGACAATAATACATATTATATTATTGTTCACTCAATTCTACAATTAAAACATATAACATATAAACTATAACATCTACACATAGACATCACTACAATAGGACTACAGGGTGTTCAGAGAAAGACCTTGTATTTGCTTTGTCTAATATGAACATTATATATCATACATGCTCCATTGTTGTATTCTTTTTATAAGCAAAACCAAGTCTAGTCATTCAATATTTAAATGTAAATTCTGAGATGTTTCAGTATAGACATGTAAGGTATTTCTCTGAACACACAAGATGTGCAACAGGGTCTCTATCTATAATCAGTGAAAACAAAGAAAAAAGAAAAAAAGTTGTCTGGTAACAGTGATAGAAAGAAATTGACATTTTTCACTGAACAAAATGATAAATGGATTTCTAAAAGTCAAAATGAAAGGTGAAAAAGATAGAAGATATTAACAGTCTAAATCCTAATCTGAAAATATTTCTGAATAAATTTAATTTCATCAATCTTGTGTCTATTTGCAGGAATTTTACTTCCTTTTAGGAATAGATCTATTCTCCCCTTGTGTTCAGAACGACATCATCTTCAAACAGGATATATATTTCAAATTAAAGCTCCAAAATATCTGATTTCAATTATAAGTTATTAACTAAGTATTTTTTTTAATACAATGAGCCAATTTTTGACAGATGCTCACACAAAAACATCACAAATTGGGAACAAATTTAAAGATAGACTGAAAATTGTACAGCACCAAGCATCACATTATGATACTTAGAAACAACAAAATACACTAGATATACAACACAACACATTACAATATACAACACAACACTTTACAATATACAACACAACACCAACATGCAGTATGATATGAATAAATGAATGAATAAAGAGAGAGAGAAAAGATGAAAGAAAGAATGATTACCCAAGATAAATAAAATTTTGAGCTCTGCGTCTGTCGTCTGAAAGGTTAGATATTAAATAAAGCATTTGGTTATATATGATGACATGGTAGGGGGTGAATCAAGCTTTGTAAGGATAATTTCAAGAAGCAATTATTCTTAGGAAATTTTAATATTAACTTCATTTAGCAGTTTTAGGAGTTTATTTTAAGAAAAACACTAATTTTGTACACTCTGCAAAATCACAATTTTTTACCCATCTATCAAAAGTTTCTTCTGGATGGAGTGTAAAATAATTTTTGAAGAATGTTGCACTTCATCATAGAGTTGATTGATGACCTATTTTAAAAGTATATTAATACTTTATCAAATAAGAAGCATAATAATTCTTAAGTGATTATCGCTCCAATGGAAATTTTTCAGCTTGATTCATTAGTTAATAGAAGGTTGATGAACATCAAACAACATTTTATACATGTTAAAACAAGTCAAAACTAGTATAGGAATAGACATTGTTATAGAAGATGTCAATTGTGAACTGAATGTTTCTGGTCTTTTTCTTTTTCTGCTCAACAATTTGCCAATCAATTGGTCAGAGTTCAATGTTTAGAACAAAAGAGTAACCATGGAGGTTATCAATAAGAAATATGGGGCAAAGTCATGTTTTAATGTAATAATTTCTTTAATATGCTGTTGTCTAGAGCTAGGTATCCTTACTCTGCCAGAACACATGGTGCCACTAAATGATTGAAATTTTCAACGAGTTTCCTTTTAAGATAAAGTGTCATTTGACATTTCTATTCTATAACAGTTTTGACTTGTTTTAATATAAATAATAAATCTACTCTAATATAATCTATGTATAACATTAATAATTCATTGTTATTAACACCATATTGGGTATTTAACTAATTAATTAGGGTTTGTAATATTCACAAGGGGCACCTGCTCAATTAATATCATCTCATAACAGGTCATTATTTAATAAAGCTCTGCTCTACTTTATCATTATTTTATTTATGTCAGTTAATATTCTAATAAGCAATAAAAGCCTTCCAAAGCAAGTCATATTTTTGAATTAGATATTATCTTAAACTACCAACTATCCAAAACAGAATTTTTCTAATGTCCTGATGGGGATTTGATTCTCAAAACATGTGTCAATGAACTATGATCTTAATTGATCATAGTTTTTGAAGAATTTAAGACCCACTCCGTTTAAGCATGGTGACAAGCACATGCATAATAAACTGAAAATTGTGAGAAATTGAGAATATATTTAAATAGAACAGCTTAAAATGTGCTTCACCTTATCAAAGTGATATAGTCATCTAATTATTTGCTGTACCAGCATTTCCTGCTCCACCAAGCTATCTGTACCACTTTTCAAATCTTAATTTTCCCAAAAAAATAATTTTCAAATAATTTTTATCAGATGAAGCCAAACTGCCATTTCAAAAGTGATACAGATAACTAAAATTGAGCCATATGAACTGACATTTCTGAAGAATTAGATGCCAATATCCCTTTAACATCAGGCGAATATATACAAGGGAGTTAACCCTATATAAAACATACCATTTCTTATAGTATCTTCCAAATTTCTACCTCTCAGTTCTAACTCAGTTAACTTCTTATCAATATCTATCAAATCATTTCGGATTTCAAATGGACTATATCTCTTTGGTGATATCTACAATAAAAAAAAATATTAATTCAAAGTATATGACCTTTAGTGTATTCATGAAATTAATCATTTTGATGCTTTGTGGGTATACAAGTCATGTCAATATAAATTAAATTTTGAACTTTTTCAGTAATTGGGTTGCTTACAGATTGACTAATTCCAGTAATTGATCACAATCTCTTAGAAACTGCTAGCAGTTGTTGAAAATCGAGATATTTTCAGATTCTTTCCAAGCCATCCCCTTAAGACATGTAATCATATCATGTGACTGTAATACTTACGTCTATTTTTAAAGGTGGAGGTTTAGGTGACGATAATTTGGTCGTGGTTGGATTATTATTTCTATTATTAGATTCAACACTGCTCTCTAGATCTGTACTGTTATCAAAATCAAATTTCATACTTGGTATAATCTTGCGTAATGGTAGATCAGGTGCTCTGTTATCCTGCGTTGTTTCAGGATAAACACGGTATTTATTATTATTTTGGTGCTTTTTATCCAGTTCCTTATTATCATTATAATGTCGGAAACCATTATCAGTAGGTGTTTCATGATGTTTGGTATACTTAGGAGGAGATTTGGGTCTTTCAGGAGCCTTTTTGATATTTACTGGTGATTTAGATCTTTCTTTTAATCCTTTATAAGTAACTGGTGATTTTGGTCTTTCTGGTGCTTTCCTGACATGAGCTGGAGGATTGGGTGAAAAAGGAGTTTCTGGAAGTTTCCTTTTATCTTTTAACTGACTAGATTGGGAATCATTGAGTTTTGGTTCTTTGTCTTTCAACTTATCTTCAATTGTAGGTTTCTGTGGAACTTTCTCGAATTCTGGATCCACAAAGTGTTTATTTTTAGCCATTCTTTTAGCTGCATCACGTTGCCATGTTAACTTTCCAAAATCGTTCGGATCTTCTACAGAGGTGGCAGATTTTGCGCGAACCTTCTTCAATTCCATATTTTGTCTCCATGAAGGTACATCATCATCAATTGGTGTTACCATGGCAACAGATTTTGGACGATTAGAGCTTCGGGAATCAATGGGTTTTTTCCAGGAAGGTACTTCTTCTGATTTGCTGTTATTGTTATAACTGTCTAATATAGAATGAACAGATTTTGGACGTTCTGGATCCTTTTTCTTGATCATATTCAACACAGGTGCTGGATTGTGTCCGGTCTCTTTCTTTAATCGTCGTAACTTGACCTCTGGTTCCTGATCTTTGACGTCTGTTAATTTTGTTTTAAGTCCACCAGGTTGTTTATTGAAATCAAACTGCTGAACTGTCACTTCTGGAGGACTCTTTTGACGTACCCCAGCCAGACTCTTCAATAGTCCACCCAAGATATTTTGATCACCACCAGAACTAGGACTGGGGCTAACAAATACTGCAACAGCTTCAGGAGAAGTTTCAGGACTCATGGCTTTATGTATTGCTTCATCTATACTCATAGGAGTCTCTTTTCTGGTCTTGTTGTCCAATGGTATTCTAGGTGGTCTACCAGGACTGCTGTTCTGACCAATAACAAAGGTTTCCTGAGATGCTATTTTTAGATCGGTTCGAGGGGGTAATGGAGGTACATTTGATGAAGATTTTTTGTCCGATAAGTATGATCTACTGGGTAAAGCAGGTGGAACATCATCAACTGATTTCTTAGCCAGATCTCTTTTAGGCTTGGATAAAGCTGACTTGATCTCGATCTGTGTTTTCCTCTCTAGTGGTGATGTTGGTGGTGTTGCTATGGAAATGCTAGGTGGGGGTGAGAAGGGAAGTGGAGGAGGGGTCTCAGGTGTTGTCACATCTCTAGGTGACGCTTTAACAGTATTTTCACTCGCAGATGCAGACGACAATTTTAATCTTGATAAAACAGGAGATTTTGGTCTCGTTGATTTTGAATCGTCTTTAATGGAGGTAATATTATGAACAGTTCTTGGTGTGGCAGACGGTTTCAGATTTAAAGATGTTTTTGAGATGTTTGATTCTGAAGTGTCCATGTCTTCCTCTAATCTAGATGTCTTCAGAATTCCCCTGGGTTTAGGCACAGGAGATGTCGACTTTTTGGTTTCTGTGTGCTTGGAACCCAAATAAGAAGAATCAGTATATCTACTAGTCGATGCGTCTTTCTTCTTTGTCAAATCAGAAATGGCTGAATCTGACTTAGTTTCTGTTTTTTTATCGAATATAGAACTCTTTATGTTGTTGGAAGGTTTCAATATATCCTTTGAAATCTTATTTATGGAAGAGTCTGCTGATTTATTTATAGAACTATCACTAAATTTTGAAATTTTAGTCACTGTGACATCACTTTTCAGTTTACTTGATGGAATATCACTTTGTGGTGTGCTAGATGAAAAATCATTTTTGGGTTTAGTCACTGATAGTTCACTTTTAGGCTTACTAGATGCAAAGTCACTTTTTGTTGTACTTGTTGCAAAGTCACTCTTGGGTTTATATTTAGAATCACTTGCAAAGGCTTTTGTCCTTGATTCATCACTAGTTTTTGAGAATCTATTCACTAGTTCATCAGTAACTTTAGAACTTTTGTCACTTTTTGATTTGGTATCCTTATCTTTATTCAAATGACTTTGGTATGAATTTAAAACTGATGTTTTATTAGTGTCTAAGTGCTTGCCAGTACCGTTGGTAGTGGAACTAGCAGAATTCTTAATTCCGTTATATCTATCACTAATACTTGATTCATTCTTAGTATCAAATTTGTGCTTCAGCACGGGAGACTTTACACCATTGGTTTCAGTCCTCCAAGATTTCACGTCAGAATTTTCTTTTGTATTAGCAACATTATGCTGTAGTTTATTTCTTGTTATGGGAGAAGGTGCCACATTGTCAACCTCCATTTTATCAAATGTTTTTGAAGAATTCGAAACAGACTTGTTCTCTTTTTCACCCTGTTCATGATATTTTTTAAGAAAATCACGTAATCCACTTTTAGGTGTTTCTGGTTGAGAGGGCGTGGATTCAAATAATTTGGAAGTCTCTTTGGTCTTGGGAGTCACGCTATCACTAAATGTTTTATCACTATGTTTATTAGTAAGACTAAATTTAGATTCTTCTTTTGATTTAGAAGATTGCACTTTGTCCAATTGACTGGAATATTTTGATTTATTGTCTAACCCACTATTGCTGGTAGTAGCAGAACTTGTTGGCACTATGGTTAATGAAGTTTTATCCTCATATTTCGATTTTGGTGTAGATGTAGTAAATTGTTTGGGGGTGCTACTGGAAATGCTCGAATCATTTTCACGTGAGAGAAACTCTAAGGCATGCACATGATATTTTGATGGCGTTTTGGAAGCACCGTTGGCTTTGGTTTTCTCAGGAAATAATGACTTCCTGCCACCTACATCACCATTTGTTTTATGATCGATTTTTCTCACTTTGGACACATTTGAAGTATTATCATCTGGTGAATTGTAGACTTTGTTAGTAGGTGACATGGTACTATGTCTAAAACACAGTCTATGGTAGAGTATATTATTGTCTATATGACGTTCCATTAAGTAGACTTTACCATCACATATAGCACATTTATCACCTAACGTACCAGTCTTAGATTTCTGAAATATAACATAATTGACAATAAATAATAACACTTTTAACTTCAAAATGACTCAGGTGGTGGATGAGGATTTGATTTCCTAGCTATGCATGAATGAGTTTCATAAATGAGCTCTTGACGAATATATAACAGTGCCAAAATGTTGAGTATATGAAAAAAGATGCTGCAAACTTCCAATGATGCATTCTTGTATAAGCAAATAGTTAAAATAATACTTACATTTGAATCTTGAGAATTGATCAAATTATGTTTCTTGTCATTCGAAGGACGTTTAAGTGAGTTACTTCCCTTGGCTCCTGCCTTAGAAATGCCTGGTCCACCCACTGGAATAAAAAAAACATTCATGTACAACAAGAACTTACTAGTATGCATTAAAACTGGACAAAAAAGTGAAAAAACTTTTGAGCACTAGCTTTAACAATGGTATATCTTGGCAATTACTTTTAAAGTAAAATGTTAAAATTATGACAAATTATTATTGTAAAATTGTGATTTACCCTAAAAGAATTAAAAAATATATATACTTACATTCAGGTTTACCATTAAAATAATTATAATACTGAGATACATAGGTTACTATACTGAGTTTATCAGGTTTCTTCATTCGAACCATATCAGGAGCATCTAAAAAAGCTGGTATATCTAACTCATTTTCAGCTACTTCGAACGCCAGTTGATTATTCTCAAATATATTCTCTTTAGACAGGGAATCAAAATCACTGAAAATAAAACAGCAGCCTTAGTTATTCTTATGGTTCCCAGGATCTGTAAATGGTAAGGAACTGATTTTTTCAACTAAACATTTAGCTTTGATCATTCTTGAACTTAGCTTTTGAAATTCTGTATTGCTGAATTTTTTCAGGACTTGTATCAAAGAGTCTGTGGCTCAGGATTTTATTAGATGTTTAGTTTATTTGAGTATTAAATTCTAATCAATCAAAAACAGCTGATATGAAATATGAAAAATATCAAATGTCTTAGGGCAGGGCTACTTTTATATCAATAATCATAAAATAAGTTTAATATCTTAGATTTGACATATTCTATCCTTTAACTATTAAACCTCTATCATATTTGATCCAACACTTCTCAAGGCTAAATCCTTACATTTTGATGACAGTGAATTTTTTGATAAGTTTAAACCGTTTGGTCATATGTTTTTTACTTGTATGTTTTACACATAAAATGCAGTAGTATGGGATCTGGTCTTAAAATCACTTCTGGAAGGGGAACTTGAAGTCCCCATTAACCAAATATTTCTTTGACATTCACAAAGAAACAAGAATATGAGGTGAAAATATAGAAATGCTAGAGGGCTCTATAAGCATTCTCTTTATTTGGAAAATGTGCATCATTATGTCCAAAGATTGCTAGGAAAAAAAACAAACAACAGCAACAATTTCTTGGTATTTCTTAATTAGGGAAGTAATATATTCTAATTAATATAATAGTACAGGTAATTAATAAGAGTTCAAGGTAAACTGTCAATGTATTATTGATGTACTGACCAATATGACATATTACTGGTCATATACACCCTTTTATAAACACTGATTAATCTTTATATGTTATTTTAATATCAGCTTATACTAGTAAATATTGTTAATATTATCATATGAAATTAATGGAAATTTTAATAATCTGTAGAAGCATATGAAGTTATCAAATAAGTACAATACCAGTAATCTTGTGATAAAACTACAAAAACTCTAAACTAGGCATAAGCACATTTTATATAGTTTTTTTAGACATTTGTTGGAGTCAAGCTAGGCTTGTTACAAAGTAGTGGTCTGTAGAATATTTGCTGACCTGACTGTATTAATTAACTGCCTATCTATAGTTTTTACTAATCATTATAAGCAATATTCTTACAATTTTAACAAGTTTTCTTTATTCAAACTATAGTCTGGAATAAGGAAAGTTGATAGACTGTGAAAGATTAAAACTCCAATATCCAAGGTTTGATTGAATGATTCAAGGCTTAAGATCAAATTAATACCAAAATATGGGATAAGCCTCATAAACTCTTCACATAATTTGACAATGAACTGAATTGAATCATGTCCATATACTCCCACATTAACTTAACAAAGGTCATAACCCCTGAACTTGAAAAACACTTAAAACATGTCTAATGAGCCACAAACTTTGAGACAATTTGTTGGTTTATAACTATGATGTTTTCAATCACGTATATCCTTTTATACCTTAAATAACTCACATTTGTCCTCAATTTGTTTTAATGGAAAATGTCTTCAATCAAAATAGAAAATTTTTCTCATGATCCTATAAAACTTTCAAACAATGGGCCTCATCCTTGATTTACTATACATGATACAATATGGCCCATGATTATTAAAGGACTGAAACAATCTTTCATCTTTTATTCGTGAAATCCAAAAAATATTGGTGACTTATTTTATTTTTCAATCTCTACCCAAAACCACAATCATTAACCCCTCCAACAGCCCACAATAAGGCATTTTTTTGTGTGATATAAGCTTATAATATCTTATGCAATCTTTATATATTCAGTTAGGAAAATAAAACTGATTTGTTTTTCACTTATGAAGCATATATTCATATATAAAAATCATGCTTTTGGAAAGAAAACAATGTAAAAATGTAAGTTATAAACAATACTATTATTTATTCAACCTATTATTGTCAAAAACAATAACATTCTATATATTTAATCAAGTCATTCATGTCAAAGTAAAACACCATGAGAAATTATGTCTCTAACAGGATCTGACTTGACAAAGTTTGTCATTTGTCCACTTCGATGACCCATGTCATTTCCTTGACTGATGGACAGTCAGTGGACATTGGATTAACATGATAAGAACGACCAATATTTATTCGTGAACAACTCACAATGTTAATTTCACAATATCAACACGGGAAACTTGTATCTCATACTCACAGCATGTACAAGGGATCTTGTTTCCGAGTACTCAGAAAGGACCTGTGTGACCCCTAATTTAAGAGGTATAAGATAACAATGATTGACAATGTATCCCAGGTTAATAAACACAGACTAGTGTGAGAGTGAGTGGAGTATAAACATTGTGTGGAGGAGTGGTGAGAATGACCTCCCCCCGAAATTAACACTTGTTCCTTCCTTTATTATACGGCTCTTGATCAAGGCTACTTATTCCTTCCTTCATTTAATAGTCCTTTTAATCAAGGCTATCATTTTCTCTGCATAGTAAAATGGATGACCGAATGATTTTGAAATTCTATATTGTTGCCCTTAAAGATAAAGAAATATATATGATATGAAAATATCTGAAATAATTGATTGCTAGTATCTTAATAAACGAGAAGTGACAAAAGTCAGAACACTTTGTATTATTGAAGCAGAACTGTAAGTTGGATTTCGATTCTGAAAAGTGTTATAGGAATTTGAAATAAGGCACTTTTACATGGTAAAACTAGTGACTTTTTCCTTTTATCTTATACTAGTTATACCCTGTCATACTTAAATTACAGGTACCTTGATCAAAGGTATCATTCTTGCTACATTAATACTGTCCTTCACCCACAAATTTCTTTAATTAAAGACACCCTGATCAAATCTATCATTCTTACCAAATTATTAAACCTAATATGACAATGAGTCAAACTAAAATTACAATAGATCTATTATAACTACACTTTAAATCTTATCCCCCATGATTCATTCTTGTAAAATATCAAAGAAATCGGTCTGACGTCTTAATAAACATAGTGAAATTGAATAATGAATCACTGTTCAATATATTCAAATTATGAAATTTCAAATATTTTAATACGTTAAGGAGTGTGATCATATAAAAGATAGATTGTTGAAGAAAATTGACTAGTAAAGCTGCACCTGGGTTTTTAACTGTATTTCCAGCTGATTTTCTTTGTGGTGTCTTGGCTTTGTGCAAGTACAAAGTGATTGCATTATGCATCAGTTCATTCAAGTTTAAATCTAATGACAGCAACCCATATTTTTTCTTTATAGAATTAGTTTGGTTATATGAGGTAATGATAAAAACGCACCAGTTCTCACAAGCACAGGCAGTGGTAGTATAAGTTGGGATTTGAAAAATTCATTAATTATTCATATAGTTACAATCTAATTAAACTATGTCTGAATCTACTGATGCAGCAAGGTATATCTAAACTCAAATGAACTATGAAATGTGACCTGTATGGCCAAGACTATTAAAAGATTATCCAGGATTAAATATTACATCACAAATAGTTTAACATACACCTAACAGAATTACCATATACTTGTTTTAAATAACATTGTTTCAGAGCAGGTTTGACCTGTTCAACCAAACTACCACAAAAAAAAAATCTGCATGTTTTAATGAGCATCATAGAGTACTTTATTTATTTAAAGGAATACTACCACTTAAATCTATTCTGCAATTTGTACTAATACCTACTTCTTAAACTGAACATAAAATTTCAAATTTAAGGATTTTGTTGTAAAGTGAACTGATGATTACAATGAGCCAACTCTAATTGGCCAAGATTGAGAATTCAATTCATGTTTATAAGAGGTTGTATTTGTTTAAGTCTAAATTCAGCAAAAAGGTTGCAAAAAATCAATGAGCATGATAGAGTACTTAATTGCCTTAATTTCAAAAGCACATTTTTTTTCTTGTATAAGAAACAAGATCAGCATCTTTAAGAAGCCTGAGGTTTTATTCAATTATTTCCTTAAATAAATTATTCACTGACGAAAGATTGAAAAAGAAAATGTAAAAAAAAGCATGACAGATTGCTAAATATTCATCAATCTAGACATTTTGTGATTTAATTATCCGATTACATGTCAGAATCTGTGATGTGGAAGAATTTAACAAGACTGAGTCATCAGGTGGTTCTCTTAAACTAACTTCATTACAGAAAATATATAAAAAATATTACAGAAAATATATAAAAAATATCAAATACGTTTATACTTTAGTAAATCTTATTATATGAATGTGATTGTAAGGTGGTTTATGACATTTATATGTGCAGATCAGACTTAATTTACTGCCTAGATTGGTTATTTGGTTTATTCTCTCTTATTCATTAAAGTGCATGTGAATTACAGATATTCAAGAAATTGGAATATTGCAAGTAAAAGCTGTAAGTAACCTTGATGCAACATTCAAAGAAAGAAACTTCATTAACATCAAATACTTGGAATTTAAGAAGAGAAAGAAATACCCTCTTGTTAGCAGATTGAATATTGAAATTGTGAGTCAGAAGGGATTAATTCTATCACAGATTTCCAGCTTCCATTCAATTTCTCAGTTAGAATCAGGATCCAATCAATTCTTGGAGAATTATGAGATGACATTGGCACTGACAGTTACATTATGATTCACACTTCTTTTACCATAAAAAAATATTTGAAGAGACATTCTATTCATGTATAAGATGGAACTACGGTAATTGCCTCCAGTCAGTAGTTCTACAGAGATGATTCAAATAATTTTGAAAGACTTCACTGGACTACATCATTACCAATCATCAACCTTATATCAGAAAATGTCTGAATGAATGATGACAAAAAAACCTTCCTTTGATGGAATGGTTTCATTTATTCCTTAAGCATTTCGAATAGCCATATATCAATCTACTCTATAGGACTGTGAATCTTTTACCAATAAATAAGTATTTATCTTGTTGCTCCTTCCATTTCATTTTTGCTTTTTTGTTCTTGGACCTGATATATAAGGCTACTATTTAACCCCACAATGTTACAACCTTTAGTTCCTAATCCCCTAGATCCCTTATTAATGCAGTGATGCCCTACCCCTATCCCCATTATCTCTATATTTAAGGCCTTGATTTCAGTAGACATATATAATCAATAAGTACTAATGTATGGTCTATAGTAATAAATAATAAATATATTGATACTAGATAAAACCAATCAATACCGACTGTTAAATCATACTTCATTTAGTCATTTAGTATCTTAGTTATCAGTTCCTTCCTTTGTTGGTAATTTGTACTATTAATATCACTGTACACTAATGTCTTTCTCAGACAAATATTTCATTGAATAAGGTTAAGACGTTACAGTCATCTTTTCATATGATCGATCATGTTAGTTCAACTCAAACAGCATAATATTCATATTGCTTAATGTCTTGGTGATCAAATTGCTTGCAGAGTTTAAGTCACTAGTCCAGTCTAATTGATTTCTGTACTATGTAAGGTAGAAGTGATATGAGAAAAATAGTCTTGAACCATGCCCAAACCAAACTGAACATAGCTTCAGACATTTCTTTATCAAATTGGTGGCTTAAGAAATCTCTTTTATGTCGAATGAAACTTTTTAAACTTCATGAAGAAATATAGGCCATCTTTTTAGTTCATTACATGACAAACAGAAAAGTTTAAAAATGTAAAATTAGAACAAAGCAAAAACACAATTATCACCTTTTCAGACTATGTTCAAATTAAAATAGCAGATTGAAGACATGATGAGGATTGTTTAAACAATGTCAACATTTAAACGAGAGACTAAATACAGACATAGAACACCTTAACATCATCATTTAACATCCTCTACTTTCTCTATTACCTTCTTCAAACACAGAAATACTTCTACCATTTCATTTATAACACGTAAATTACTGAGTCCTCCATCAATACATTCATTGTCAGTTTAAGGTATCTACTTTGTGGACTCATCAAAAAAGATACTGAGTAGACAAACAAACAATTGCCAAGTGCAATCAAAAATTTAGATGAGCTCTGTGTCGCTAGCAACGACTGCCACAATAGGAAATAGAGTGGATCTTAAACTCTTTTGACTTGACCAAAAAAACAATATTTATAAGAAAAGTGGACTCTTAAAAATCTTTTTATTTGGCTACCATGTTGTTGAAGTTTTATCTTCAGGTCAAGCAATTATATAGATGACAGTATCACTTTAAAAGAAGGATGTAAAAGGAGAGAAAGTTAAATTGAAGGGCATAGAGAATATTGAATTAGGAAACACTTGTTCATGTTGTTCTATAGACTTAATGCATGACATCAATAGTTGTTTGTTTATTTTCTACCTTCTTTCTATTCTGTTGTACTCTATCTGTTGATTATACAGGGCTGGTCAATATCAGCTTTTACTGGTGTTTCTACGGGAGGTAGATGTTTAAAGAGGCCCAGAACTGAGGCTGACTGAGCTTCGACCAACCCCCATTTTTAATTCCTTTTCATCTTACTTAGAGAAAGAAAAAGCCTATGAGCCCCACTTGACAATTCTGTGGCAGCCCCACTTAATCAATCATAGAAACACAACTGGTTGTATTCAATGTGATAGTCAGGCCTAAGGGTTCATTAACCAATTAAAAATATATAAACAGATGAGAAGTTGGTTCAAAGGTGGTGGATTCTTTGATTTAGTTTTACTGAATTTAAACTCTGTTTAGGAGGTTGACTATCAATTTTTGTAATTCTACAATATAACTGTCTGGTAAAGTAATATTTAAACAGAGATTGAGATCAGGTTCATTTGAACTGTCTGACATTTTGGGGGAAATTTGAAACGTAATTAGGTCAAATTCAAATATAGAACCTTCACATTGTCTCAATTAAGTTTTATTAACCTTTGCGACTTTATTTCAAATGATGTAGATTGACGAAATGACATTAAGGTATGAAAACAGTATGGGAGTGTTAACTCTCTGAAGTCTCTTTCTATTATATTTGTTTCAATCTTATCAACAAATTGTCACATGGTTGACGTTAATCTCTTAATCATGAAAAAATTCAGGGTTCGAATTATGTTGAAACATTTCATTAGCAATTTATTACACCAAATTTCAGTTTTGGATAATCAAGTTAAATTTTGATTCGCAATTCTTCAAAATTTGGTTACAATTCATGATAGTTTTCATGAAATTTATATTGCAAAAGGATCACAGAGGGAATCACAATTTGCGATGTGATACAATTCAAATAAAATCACCTGGAGTTTAAATAATTCAAATCTACTTACATCAAATCTGGTCTGAAACGATGAATGATGGCACAAAATGCCAGACCATCACGCCAGGATGTGGACATGTCAATAACGTTGACATCCCGATATCCCTCAGTTCGTCTAGCACACCATTGCTGTAGGCCTTTAATTTTAGACGCCATCTTATTTCAGCAGCAACTTATTTCTGAATCTGAACTAAAGGATTTCTTAACCTTTGACCTTTATTTGGTTAACTCAACATGATTGGTTGTTCTGAAAATAAAAAACAGGAAATGAAGAAGTTCAAAATAAACACGAGTTATTTGTTAAAGCATCTTTAAGGTTAAGAACTGTGATTATTTTTAATCTTTCTTGGTTACCATGACGGTTTACAAGTCACTTCTGAAATAAGACCAGATTATCTTTTCTCTTTGTGTCTTCACAACTCTGCATAAAAAAAAGTTGCAAAAATTTTAAAAGTATTTTAAATACAAAGTACTATTGTTCCTATACATCTCAGTTCAGAATTGAAAAGAATATAGACGGCCACATGCAGTATACAATGAGCGGACGTCGAGACAGTAATTCTTTTTGCCTGTCCTTTTTGATTTTAAACTGTCTTGGGATCTTCAAGGAGTCAGTAGAGTCATGGTTGTCATGGATTTTATTGAGCTTTCTTAAATTTATCCATGTATGTGAGACATTGATAGCATCATTCCAATTTTCAGTCTGTTGTCTGTGGGGTATGCAACTCCACTTGAACTAAATGTTTTATGACATAGCTATTTGAAAGGTACAGTTAAGTAATTCTACAATATCAGGAACTACTGACATCATCTGACAGAAATTGGAATATGCAAATAGTTGCCATGATCCTAGTACACATAAAAAATACAATCCTATAACTGCTCAGTCAGAATCTTCTCCTGTAACCTGCATCACAGAACAATTTACAATCAAATCTACACTCTATCATGAAATAAATTTAAAGATAAAACCTTTAAAACTATATTAACAGCCAATTCCAATTCTTAGTCTATTCAATAAGATCTCTGAATAAATAAAATACAGCTTTCAATTCTAATATATATTTCAGGACTAAGCCAATAGAGCAATTTATACTAATTATATAGTAGAACTTGTAACAGCATGTCTGGGTCAGTAAGACCAACCTTTAATAACCTTTTACTTAATATATGACCAGATCACAATGATCTTTGGCAGACCCAAATAAAACAATTTCATAATTCACCATTATAATCCATTTAAAAACATTGTTAGATTATTACATTTAGAAAATATTGAATTGATTTCATAACATTGTTTATCTAAATAACAATTTTCAGATGAACCCTAAGCGTGAGCTCTCAATGTGAATGAAAAAATAGCCATTTACCCTGAACTACCAGTAAAATAACTTACAGTGTATGATGTTAATTTTATCTGATGTCACTTGGTAACGACTGTTTCATCAATCAATGTATTATTATAGTATCACAGAATTTTGTTGCCCTTAGTCACAATGCTGGTCAAAATCAACGTCACCTCAGTTATGAAGATATAGCACAATAAAAATTTGTTTTCAAAACAGTAAAAGAAAGTTTTGCAGTCAATTGTCTCATAGCATTCTAGAAATGAAATGAAATGAATGGAGTTTTACGTCCTACTATTCTGGGCTAATGAAGACGGTCATAGCACTCTAGAATAAAACTATGACGTATGATTGGATTGTTTAAAAAATAACAGGATTTGACGTGAAATGCCATATGAGAAATTCGTCATGACAACAGTAAAAGGATGTGATCAACAGGATATGATATCTTGATATTATGACATTGTTTTAAATTAACTATTTCCTTTATAGTCTACTGTTATTATATTAACCAAATATCATACATTATTTTAAAATAGTTTTTTCCTGTATTTAATTGGTTCAGATCCAAAATCGGAATACATTGGCAATGATAGCAATTTCAAAATTACCAGTTAAAGCTTATACAATAAGGCAATAAGGAAATACCATATAAAATGATACAATAAAATACTTTCATTGTTCAAATAGTGCTCAATACATCAACTGAAGAGCGATATTTTAATAATTCTAAACATTATTTGAAATAGACCGAATTTTAAATAATATAGCTATATGGACTTTGAGTAAGAGTTGTCATGTTGAGAAATCAATGGCAGTTGCTTTAAGTGTCATAATGTTTCCCTAAGCTATGTGAGTGCACAATTACATGTTATTTTGATTTGTTAAATTCCAAATTCAGACTATTTTGGCAATGTTACCATTTTATAAAATAAACTATTTATATATATATTTATATTTAAAAATAATATATAGAAATAACATTTGTAATGGTATGTATTATATAAATATCATTCATTATTTCTAAAATATACCAAGTTTTAAATATGAGCTATGTGCACTCTGATGCACTATATTATCATCTTATTATCATCTTATTATCACCATGGTTAGGTGGGGTCAAGAAAATTAGATTTAACCTGTCTTATTGTCTATTAGATGAAAGAGAAAAGTGTAAACTAGTGATAATAAGATATTATTATCATTATCAACAGATAAACATTGGGTGGGATTTTTACCTCTTTCCTTTTCAAGTCACGATCATATCAAAAACAATTATCACAACTAATTGGCAAATTGTACCTTGTGAAAGCATACTGTATCTTGTCAAGGCATATTGTATCTTGTCAAGGCATAGAAAGGATGTAAAATTCTATTTCATTTGATTTGTTAAAGAGACAAGTTCGCCAATCGCACTTTAGTCTAAAAATTGTGCATATTTTTAATAAGTATAAGTATTTACAGCTCACTGTTGAAATTTGAGCCATGTATTCCCAGAATTATCAGTATTTGAAAGACAAAATGATGAGTCGAAAAGATATATAGAAATAGAGAGTAGTTTGAGGTATTTTGTAAGGAAACCTGTCACATTAAAGTTAAATATGAGCTATAATGATTAAAGTAAACCAGGATCAGAAAGGTTTCTCTATCACAGTGGGTGTATTTTTCCATTGTAAATAAAAACAGATTTTAGCACTGGTACCAGGAAACCAAGATTTTATAATGGTTAATGTAAAACACATTTTTTCCTCTTACAGTCATTGTGCTAGAAAAATACATGACATTTTTACCCAATTCTTCAACATTTCCTGTAATTCAAAATTTGAATATTATTCTTAAAATACTTGCGCTAAGAATAATAGATTTTTTAAATCACAGCATAAAAAAATCAGCCCACTTCCACTGTTAAACAATAGGTTTAAAAATATAACAATGGCAAGATCACAACATGTCAAATTTGATTCTAGCATCTGTATGCCGCAGTTTCTGTTAATGAAACTGGAAAATACATCTGTACAGGCAGACATGTTTAGGCTTCTATAAAGTTTGAATTTGTAACTGAAATCAGTTATCACAAATGGAATTCATTTCAACGAAACTGACGAACACATCTAGAATCACTTTTCTTTTTAACTATATCCCAACTAACAACATTTGAAAATTTAAAAAAAATGTTGACCCACATCAAAGAGTAGTAGGTCAAGTTTGAATGAATTACTGTAATCAGGTAAAATCTAAGATTCAGGTAAATAAAGTTGATCATCTATCATAATAGTTGATGATGTTAGATGTTGATAAAGTGTATATAATATAATGACAGTTACACACCTCTATCTTATATTTGTAACATCAAATTATGTCAGTTTCAAAATTCTTTTCCCATGTTTATGAATGAATGACATGAATTTTATACTCTATTTTTATGAATAAATTATCATAAATAACTTTTCCAGATTTTGAACATTAATAATATTTGTCCCTGATTTTTTTCTTGATGGTGATTACTTACTTTGTGTGCCCTCAATCAGATTCAATTTCAATTCAATCACATCAGATGATTAGCAACATATAGTGGAAAACAACCGATTGGACATTTTCTGTAGCGCCCACAACCAGTTGTCAAAATCTTTGACAAAACTCTAGTCTGTGACAAAAAATCGTTTTATGCCCTCAGCAATGTGGGCAAGCCTAGATAAGCTTGTCAATACTGCTCTCAACAGAAATAAACTGAGTGTATGCTGGCCTTACAGTATTAACTTTTTTTCCCCAAGCAAACAGAAGTAAACCCAAGCCCTTAGTGAACAAATATAGAAAACCTTAACACTACAGTTCCCTCAACAGAAGATACATGTACAGTTCATTAGTATGTATATCCTCGATGATCAAAGAAACAAGCAACCTGCTGAAAAGACAGTACAATAATCTGATGTGTCTGTATTCAGTTTGAGACACCAGTGTATCAATAGACAGAATACAATAGAGATGATGTGAGAATGAGAAGATATACCTCACGAACTCATCAGAATGTTAAAACCCCTCTCTTACCTAACAGATAGATTACAGTCTTCACAAGATGTATCCAAACTACTCTAGCTTAATGACCCAACTAAGCTTTCCAATATAAGTAACTAGTTGTTTGATTTTTAAGTAGTTTTACAGGTAATTAATGGTGTTTTTAAACTAACTTAGTATGAGGACTGTAAATCCAGCTCAAGGCTGTACCAGTATCTTTAATCTTTACACTAGACATGTCATGATTTAAAGCAAAAATCTATGTTTATTTTGATAAATCAGGGCCCCATTTTTTAACATATTTTAAGATTCATTTTTGTTGCTTTAAAATGTGCATATTTAACATTGGCCAGGATCTTTAAAATGGTTATATTTGCATGTTTTGTCAGATTTGAATTTAGCATCATGTTTTTCTTAAATGATTAGGGTTAATGAAGGCAACTTTCAGAGATTCCAGTACTATATACAAGAATAAATTCATATTTAACTATTTAAATCTATATATGTTAATATGTACTGGGTATATCTGTAGAAACATCAAGGAGACCATCCAAGCATAAAGTCAGAACTATAATGTTGGCTATCTACTCTAATAATACCTATCATTAATCATTCATAAGATTTACATAATTAATATACATCCTATACTAGACTACAGGTTATTTACTTTACTAAATATAGTTCAAATTGTTTTAGACTCGTTGAATAAGCTCTCAGATTTGACAAAAGTGAAATGATGATAGAAAAAATGACACGCATGACATATCAATATTTGTCAAGTCAATA